TAAGATAAATTGTTATTTGTGTTTCTGCATTGTGACTGCAATCCCTTTCCTCCATCCCCTCCTTCCCAACGATATTATTTCTATAGTATCATAAATTCATGATGTGACCAAAAAATTGTTGATTGATATATTATGTTGTTTTGTATAATTCATACCGATAACACTAAAAATTATAATTCAACAACTCTTACCAAGTAAAAAGTTTAAATTTAAAGAAAGTATTCCTCTAAATCCGAAAGGCCAAAATGAAAATATTCTAAAAGGGCAGATAACCATAACATAATTTTATAATATTGAAAGTTGAATAACATTATTTAAATCATGAAAACTATTACAATTTATAGATGGGTAAGTAGTCCACAGATCAATTATAAGGATGAAACAAACTTTGTTAAGAATTTCAGTCAAGATATTTTTATTGAATTAGCCGACGTTTCAACCCAAACATGTGCGTCCTCCTCTGGGCTATCGTTTGGAAGGCTAGATAAGAACTCAATCCAGTTCTTGTCTAGACTTCCGAACAAGATAGCCCTGAGAATGACCCACATGTTTGGGTCCAAATGTTGTCTAATCCAATAAAAACAGCTTGGCTGAAATTCCTGACAAATTTTGTTTCATTATTACAATTTATCATATTGCACCTGTCTATGACAAAATAAATTTCAAAAATAGTATTGCAGTTCATACTCAACAGACATATCATAAGTTAATTATAGCTACTTTAAAAACAATTTTAATTAAGGGAAATCATTTTTGGAACTAAGCCTGGTTATGAGTTATAAAATTTTTTTATTGTCAAGTAAGCACATAAAAATATCACTTATTGGCAACAATATATTTGATATTTATATACATAACTCTGATTATATTTGCATAACCATGATGAAGTAGAAAGTTTTAGTGGTTTTAATTTTCAACAATCACTGTTTTGATGCCATTAAACCTCTTAAAAATAAATTATAAATGAGAAAAAGAAATAAAATGGCTTTCTGACAAAAAAAAAAATGTAATTCTCAAAATAACATCAGAAATATGACAACATAGATCAAATTTACCTATTCCTCATAAGACTCAATATGAAGCAATCCATACTATATATATATGAATGTTAAAGATGTCTGAAACGTAAAACGCTAGTGGAAATTTTCGATTTTGAGCACAAAATTTTTCTTAACCTCTCGCACGAACATAATGCTTCTCTACCTTCAGTAGTGAGGAAGCAATAATAAGTCAAATAAGAATATTAAAAAAAAAAATTTGATTGAGAATAATTATAATTGTGATAATGCCAAATTAAAATATATATATATATATATTAAAAAATATATTAAATAATAAACAAGTTGGTATTTATTTTTCATCTATCACGATGCTTGCCGAGCCTCTTATTCACTTGCTCTCCAAATTAAGCGTTCAGAGAATCCTCTTTCAGAAATCATTAACTCCAATAGTATCCCTCCATTACAGATCTACAGATCCCCACTTTCCTTTCAAACTTTGTCTACTTGAAATTAAATTTTTTTTCAGATTTCACACTGCCCAAGTCCGGGTACAACATATAGTTTGAAAGTCATAATTGTCAATAAAATGGTTCAAGGGTGATTTTATATTTAATTACTTTTAGTATTAAAACAGTATCAGTAAAATAAATGAGTTCACTCTCTTAATAACACTCCACCAATCACTAGATACTTGTTTATAACATAAAAATATATTAAAGTCTTTCATAATACTCTTCACGTTAACCCCATTATTAAATTTACTTAATTCTGCATGTAACTTCTTCTATGAACATGTGAAAAATTCTTTATATACTGGTCTCCATATACATATTATTATTTAATATTGATGCGAGTTCAAATAATATGGGAAGATACTGTGATGTCAGTATTAAGGCAAAATGCTTCCATCCTTCCATTTTTTTAAATTAGCTGGTTCTTCACACAAATAATACACGGAGGTATTTTATTGAAAAAAAAAACAAAACAAATAAAACATTCTGCTGATCAAAGCACAATATTTAGCTTTCAAAACTTGATATGCTATATAGAGCTTTCAAGTATAAAGCAGAGCCAATAGTTGTATGTCTTAAGTACAATAATCTCTTATAATTTCATCAAACCAAAAGCACAATATTTGATCATAATAACCATAAAACTATTTAGAACATATTATGTTAATAAATTTGTTTACTTCTGCAGCTTTTTTTTTTTTAAATATCTTAAAAGCTATTAATAATATAAATTCATATAGCAATAAATATACAATAAATATATAATAAATACAAAGAATGTACCAGTACATAATTCAGATATAAATTATCTGAATAGAAGAGTGAAATGTGGAATTTAAAGCCAATAAATTTTTTTTTATTTACCAAGACTTCTACTTTATTATCGTATGTAGAATTCAAATGAAAACAAGAGTAGATGAGTATGCACTAAAGGAAAATAATGCATATGAGTATGATTGTAGCTTAAATAATTATAGACAAAAACTTCCATAACTTTTCCCCAAAAAATTAAACCCTAAAACGTCAGTTTGTAGTTGTAAATAATGAAGATTTTATTTATTTAATATTAGCCATCCTTAGAAATTGTAAAATCTAAAAAAGTATTTCTAATGCTTTATGGTCTTCAACCTTGTTTCCTTTTTTAAAGGGAACAGGATAAAATGGCAATCAGTAGAAGGAAATTCTGTAAACCAGGCCATTCTTTACAGCTTCACTATTTAATAGATAGGTTCTTGTTATTATCCAAACTAACTATTGTTTACAACAAAAGATTGATTGAGGTGACTAGGTGGGGGATGATAATTGATCATTTCAAATTATATTAGCTTCATCTGAAATTTAGAGTTTTTTAAAAAATAATATGGTTAAATTGAGTATTTAGACAGAAATCATGAAAAGTACCAATGCAATGTATAAAATAAATATTTAGAAGAAGAATACATTTGGTAAATATACACTCAAGATGGAGGATTAAAATTTAACACCTCTTTCGACATAAATTTTCTTATTACTTGACCCAGAAAACAGATTTTACCAAAAGCAATAGACATATTGATTTTTTATTCAAACTAATTGGAACACAGATATATTTTGAGAGTCCCAACTGAATCAATACCAAACTATGTTTAACACCTTATCCATCCACGAGTCTTTTTTTCCCCCTTGTTTTTATTTTTTAAAAATTCTTAAAGCGATTTTAATTTACTGAACTGTATCTACACAGAGGATAAGTATAAAAATAAACATCCAAGTCCCTTCTACAAAATATCTCAGGTTGATGATTTTAAAATAAAAAGAAAGAACGTAACTAGAATATCCCTTAATTAGATGTGGAATTACAGAAGTGGGTGCTACCAAGCCTGTGGTTGGTGTAGTGACGCAATCGGTCAGCCATATTCGTAACAACAATCTTCCAAGTTATAATTTCAATAAAAATAAATAAAACAAATAGGTTAACAAGAGGAATTACATGAAGCAATAAACGCTATGTATATATTAAACAAATCACATTTGTTTCACAAGTGACAAAAATGGAATCCCACAAACATGCTTAACAATATTTTTATTTGAATATAAAAAACTATTTCAATTGAATTTTGCCAGATAGCGCTAATTAACAAATTTGAGTCATAAATCATAGCTAAATTTAATTGTTTAATTATTTTAATTGAATAAAAAATAAAACTACAAAATATAAACAACAAATTTAATTAGCTATATAAGAAATATCTTTGTAAAATATTCATACAAATAATTAAAATCACAAATAACTATTAACGGTGTCGAAGGAGAAAGGCATTGGTACCAAAATAGAATTGAAATAGAAGTGAAAAAAGTTCATAAGTGATACTTAGTTCATCTCATCTAGTGTGTTTGAATAAATTTTTAATTTTTTCAAAACTAGCATGAGATGGAAGAACTATCTACCACTTAGGAACACTTTTTACTAAAATTCTCAATATATTTGTTTTTGCACTAATACCTTTCTGCTTGGACTGTAGCAATTTATAAACATCTTTCAAAAATTAATACTTTCCTCATCAATTTGAAATTGTCTTAATACAATTATTTTAAAAAATATATATAAATTAATAAAATAAAATACTTGACCCAAAGAACAGCCTTCAATAGACTGACAAAAGTTAAAATATAAGTAATATTAAGTTAATAAAAAAAAAAAACATGCTAAACAGTGAAGAATTGCTTAAAGAATAATCATGCACTAGTATGGCATACAGTCTCCTCACTTTAAAGCATGCACCATTTCGTATCAACTCAAAACCATTTACAGTTATGTTTAATAGGAATAATTATTAAGATACTATACATAAATAAATAAATAATATATGAATTAAGGCAAGGCTTAAATAAATACATCACTATAATTAAGTTTAACAAATTATAACACACAAACAAAACAATTCAACAATAAAAGTCATAAATAGATAAAACAATTTACACAATCAGCGACAATGTCAGACATATTTTTGACAATTTCTGCTATTTATAATACTTTGTTTATGGTAAATAAAACACATGATGAAAAACATTTTGGTTAAAATTTGGAATTATTAAATAGTAACCAACTACTATGTTTTTTTAAAAATAAACATAATCAAAAATAAATAATGGAATAATTCATGGGATTAGAAATTTGGAACCAAAAAAATTTTGTTTTTTATCTTATTGTTTAAATAAATAAGTCGGGGGCATTAAAACTTTATAAATATTTGAAAGCATCCCCAAAAGAATTGATTTATGAAGGAAAATATGTAAATTTATTTCTGTGAGAAGGTGTAATACTTCATGACATTTAAAAGATATTTTAGAATATTTTAGCAGATCTAACATTTATATTTACCAAGATATAGAATAAAAATTAATAAATAAATAAAAAAGAAAAATGAACAGATAGAAGAAAAGAAAAATAATTGGAAAACCCAAACCCGATTAGCTAAAGGTCGATAGACTGGTCACCATGACTAACCTCCTGAAGGAGATCCTGAGCAGCTATAGCTTTCAGGACGTTCTTTTTGCTTGTTTCCTGAATTTCACCTCCAAGTAAAAGTTCGTCTAGAATGAAGTATGCTTTCTCAAAGTTGAATATAATATCCAACTCACAAACCTAAAAATAAAAATAATTTTAGCATAAAAATATATATTACTTAATCTGAAATTGTAAGTATAGTCCATTGCTATAGTTAATAATTTTTTTTATATACTTGGGATGAAAATCAAAAACAAAATCTTATGAGAAGTACTTGCATGGATTAATATATTCTCATACATTATATAGTCATTAAGGAATGGCAAATCTGAAATTTTAAATATGTATTAACTTAAGGATAAATTAATAAATGCACAAACACCAAATTTTCATTTACAAATTAAGATTTTTTCCCCTAAATAATGAGAGAATTATAGTACCACCTGTACCACTACAATCCATGAAGGGTCTTGGGATTAGTACTACGAGGATGGTTTGAAAATTTCTCGACCGCAACGTGAAGATGACAGCACTTGAATTTTGTTGTTCTTCTGTTGACAGATACCCACCAAAGTTTCAGCCATATTGGACACGCAGTTTCTATGTAACAGTCATTTTTGTGAAAATGAACAAAATCGAGCACTGAGCTGTCATTAAATATTTGTTTTTGAAAGGCCATAGGCCTACGCAAATCAAAGATGAGTTGGATTCTGTGTATGGAGACTCTGCAATATCATTTACCACAGTGAAATTTTGGACAGCTGAATTTAAATGTGGCCATAAGAGCTTGGGAGACGATGAACATTCGGGATGTCCAAAAACTGCAACTACCGACGAAAACATCGCCGAAGTTCACCAAATAGTGCTAGACGACCGCCAAATTAAAGTGAGAGAGATAGCAGAGGTTATGAACATGTCAAAAGAACGTTTGTTATATACTAAATCAACATATAGGTATAAGAAAGCTGTCTGCACGTTGGATGCCGCGTTTGCTCATGTAAGACCAAAAATGTGTTCGAATGAACATTTCCAACGCTCTGTTGGCACAGTTTAGGTGCAATAAATCTGAGTTTTGGCACTGATTAATTACTGTAGAGGAAACTTGGATACACCATTATACACCCGAAACAAAAATACACTCCAAACAGTAGACTGCAAAGGGAGAACCAGCTCCAAAAAAAGCAAAAACTGTTTTCTCAGCTGGGAAAGTGATGACGACTGTTTTCTGGGATAGTCATGAAGTTATTTTAATCGAGTATCTTCAAAATGGAAAAATCATTACAGGAGAATACTATGCATCCTTACTTAACAAGCTGAAGGCAGAATTTGCGGAAAAACAGCCACATTTGCAGAAAAAGAAAATTCTGTATCACCAAGGCAATGCACCATCTCTTACCTCAGCGGTTGCCAATGCGAAAATCCACGAATTATAGTTTGAACTGCTTGACCATCCGCCTTACCAGATCTAGCCCCAAGCAACTTCTTCTTGTTCCCTCAACTAAAAATTGAGCTCGGAGGACGGAGATTTTCGTCAAATCTCCTTTTGTCTTGTCAAATCCTCAAAAGAGACAATCTCCTTCGTGAACAATTATTTTACAGAGAAAAATGGCGAGTACTTTTTCAGGTTTTCCCTCTGAATTAATTATTTAATTAAGAGTACCCACTTTATAGAGACTGGGTGTGCCCCAGAAGGGTCTCCTGATCCCAGGATCGACTTACGGCTACTGAAAAATTACTAACAGCCAGATTTGATTCTGGGACCTTGAGCTCTGGAATTAAAGGTTTTTATCTATTACTTTTTTACCAGAGCTGTGCAATAAATGTCTAAGCTAGGTTAAGGTTATAAGATGTAGCCTAATGATCAAATATAAGTAAACTCATGCAGTACAACTGTACGTGGTAAAGGGTATAAAACTACTATAACGGCAGAAAACTTATTTGTTAGTAATTCTAAAGATTGGTCATCTTTATATTTATCCATACTCCATATTTTCAGAAAAACTCGGGTACTTTCAGCATTCCATGAAAAAGTGTTACCGAAGTGGTTGTGAACCATGCCTAAACCATAGGTAGCTCTTATGAACCAGTATCAAAATGAAAATTTAATTTGACATAAAGACTTTTGTAACACTATTAAGATATCAACAAAAGCAACAGAAATTATTCCATCTGCTAGAAATTATAAATAAATTATCTTAATTTTTGAGAATTAACATTTTCTTCACTTATAACAAGCCAATAAAAAATAAATTAAACATAACTCAGTGGATTTTATTTTACATTCCCATCCATTCATGCTTTTATTTTGAACTAAAATACTCACACTTCCAAAGTATTTGTCAAGAAGTTCAACATATCGATGAATCACTTCTAATGTAAGCAGTTCATTATCATTTTGCTCTATGGCACAACAAAAATATAAACTTGCATACCTAAAATATAAATTAGATACCAAAATAAATAAAAATTAACAACGATATATAAATTTAAACCTTACATATAAGAGAATACTTCTAAGATTATAAAAAGTAAAATACCTTTTGTATACTATTTTCAAATCTTTCCATTCCAAAAAGCTACACATTTTTGGTTTCCTTGCCAAAATTGTAGTAATTAGTTCTCTGGTAATTTTTTTCTTCAATTTATCTGGATGTGCAACATACCATTTTTGCAATCGCAACTTTCCTTGACGACTGAATAAAAGCATGAACTGCATCTATTGGGAAAAGGGAGCCAATATTAAATGATGTAGAAATGTAGTAAAATCAGAACATTAATTTAAACTAAAGATACACCAAATAAATTGCTACAACAAAATGAACCAAATTTTACCATTTTAGGAAAGATTTAATTTGGTTTTATATTCTTCACAAAACTTTATTTGGTTAGGTTGCCAGTTACAACTTTTTTCCCACGAAGGAATACTATATAATTGATAGGAGAAAACAATTTTTAAATATGACCTAAATAAATTCCATTGTATATTTTATTTGTCTTGACAATTCTTCCTTCTTAACAAAACCTATACAACCCTGAGTTCCATCACACCCTGCCCAAGTTTGTTCAACTAGATAACGCAATCACTAAAATACAAAGAGCTATTCTTGTTTGAAAGTAAAACAGAGCCATTTTCATAAAAACCAGAGTGACGTCGTTAATGAAAACAAGCAGTTTTCTATGATACTTTTCTTTTCTAATAAAACACAACATTTTACTGCTAAATTATCAAATTTTCAATTTAAAATGTATTGATATTAGTTTAAAATTTCAGTAACGTTTTGAGTAAAGTGTTTTACCTGAATTTTCGTAGTTTAAAGTATGTTCTCAATTTCACATTTCCAAATTTCTTTTATTTTTAGGGAGAGGAATGTCACCCCCTTCCTTCTAGCCAATCCCGAGCGATGTCCTCTGATTAAGCATTGAAATATGCCATTTTAAGATCCACATTAAAATGTGAAGGTAAGATGAGGTCGTGATGGTCGAGCTTCATAAACCGTTAACTTTAACATTCTCAAATCTAGCAATGCCACACAGTGGGATAAAATAAAAGTTAAAATTTAGAAGTTCGGCAATATTAGTAACAAACTAATATCGTTTCCCCATCTTTTCCAGTTGGGGAATTATTATTATCACATAATCATATTAATAATGCCTCAATATGAGACGATATTTGAAGGAAGAGAAATCATATTTTCTATATTTAGAGCTAGTGTGCCTGTATATATATATATATATATATTCGATTCATCTTTGGCGACCCCAGCCTAAAGTGGCTCTACCCAGTTCTCCGGGAGTAATACTTCCTAGGTGTATTCCTTTTGCGAACCTTTACAGCCAAAAAACCATCGCAAGCACGAGATCCCAGTCCGTAAACCTGTTTGTTCCCTCTCCTAGAACCGCTCCGTTTAAAAAATCCTTTGTCATGCCTGTTGCCTTTTTCTGGAAGACATTACCTACCCCCTCATACGCAAATCCTCTTCCTTGACCTCATTTAAACATTAATTATTCTTCCTCCTCCTAAGCAATCAATCTTTCGAATAAATGTAAGAACAAAATTTCGTATTTAAGAGCTGACACCTTCATTTGACTGTTATATTACTGTTACTTATATGTTATCATTATTGTTAATCAAAACAAATATGTGAACACACTCATATATATTTATGTGTAAATTAATGTTTACTTGTACTTAATTTATTTTAATTTTAAGGTTGGATTATTATGCTATGTTAACTAATTCTTTTTTATTTTCTCATAGTACCAGACCATTGTAATTTTTTGTTCACTTTAGTTATTCTCAGAGACTAAATGTCCCAGAATAAAATTTACTTTCTTCTTCTTCTATATATATATATATATATATATATATATATATATATATATATAATATATATATATTTAAACCTAAAGGTGCGTTTATACACATTTCAAAAACTTAGTTAATTTACAAACACCCACATTAGCTCAACGACAAACTTTTTTTTTATATCTCCTGTTACCACCATAGATAAAAAACACTAAAAAATAATAAACAAAAATAGCGTAGTGAAAAAAACATTTGAATATTTGTGCTTCGTATAGCTCATGAAATTTATAAACGTACATTTATGGTTAATACCAGAGGTCTCTAAACTACGACCAGGGGGCCGCATCCACCTCCATTCCGGCCCGCGAATGTTTCTTTAATTACATGGTAAAGAGGATAGTCTTCGGGACACCGATTCCAACCAAATTTTTTATGGTTATACTGCATCGAAAAATAGTAGACACGTATCTTGGAGTTCTTTTCACTGGACTCTAGGAGCCGAGAAAAAAAGTTTTTTGTATAATCTCAAACAAAATTTATTTTTCCTTTGTTTTGTCTAGATTGTTAGGTTGCTATATATCAATCGTTTTTTAGTGCAGAATAAGAAAAAAAATATTAACTATTATATTAAATGAATTACAATGTATCATAAATTACAAAAAACCAAAAGGTGCTTTCAGTAAAGTACTAAATTGTTGTCATGAAAAAGCAAAAATGCAATTGTTTTATAAATAAAAAAATACAACCTTTAGTATTTGATTTTCTTGGATGTCTTTTCTTCCAACCGTAAACTAAAGCATTCATAACTCCTCAGGATGTTCTCTAAATTCAACTTTAATATTACCGTTGGAAAACTCAATAACTGCTCTTCCAACTGATATCAATAACGTTGGAATTTTATTTCTTTCAAGCTAGAAATTAAGAAAGACGTTTCAAAAAAACACAGAGGCCTAAATTCCTATTAATTTTTATGTGGATCAGTGAAGCCGTTCTAAATTTATCACAAAGCTTTGGGATTGTTGACGAAACTTCCTTATTCTCCTGTGCACATGGTCATGCCCGGAATCAAAACGTCGTATTCAGCGTTTCTTGGGGATCCACAAGTGAAACCCATCAAGCATAAGCCCTTGACCCAAATTTAACCACTTGGAAAGTGACATTAGGAGCCGCAGTTTTCTGATCTTAGCAAGCCTGCTTACACCTTTCGGTTACATATCTCGGTTTTGGGTTTTATTTTTTAACGAGGTTGAACTTCTCTCTCTCTTATTTTTTTTCTAGAGGCGTGGGATGATCCTTGGCGAAGTTATTCGTCCATTTCATTGCTAGAACTCTAAGACTGCGTAAAGAATTATGCTTTTTGTGTTTTTAACTTCCTGTTCAAAGTTGCTTGGCGAATGAATAAATTTAGACCATTGCCAAGCCTCTTGGTACAAGATTTTCATATTTGCTGACCTGAAAAGTGATTAACAAGGCGATTTGTGCTACTAACGTTCTTACAAATATGTTATCATAAAGTTCGCAATAAAAAAAAAAAAAATTAAATCAAGCTTTTTTTTTTCTTATAAATCAATACTTTTCTAAAGTTACATTGCAATAATAACTGCATTATCTGTTAATTCAATATTATTTCTTATTGTTTAATAGATCCATCTTTACGAATGTATATTTAATTTACAATTCAAAAATGAAATTGTCGTTTATTACACCTTCAAATGATCACTATTAAAACATTGTTTATTTCAAAATAAATTGAAATTTTAATAAAGATTTAAATAGGGATGGTCACTACATTTAAAAACATGAAAATTCCGACAAACTTAAAGTTGCTTTAGCACATTATTTTCTTAAGTCTTTGTTCTATTTACAACTGTATTCCTTTGGAAGGGAATTGTCAGGTTACAGATCGTTAAAATTCAACTTAAGTTTTTCTCTTGTCTATGCCACCGTTAGAACAAAAGAATAAATAAATATATATACATACATTTATTCTACACTGTTAAAATATCATTTCAAAATGGGGAAAGCTATGTCTCGTATGAACAAGTTTTGGTATAGATTCAATGCTGAAAATAGAGCTCAGAGGATCCTCTCAGAAGAAAAACCAACTGTAGCTCCTAAGCACCCCTCTTCTCTTAAAGGAATCCAACAAATCCTATCAGGTTTATTTGAATGTTTGTTATCTTAGGATTGCAAATTTATTTAGCTATCCATCTTGAATACAGATATTGCTGTAATGTTGTAGATGAAACCTATGACAAGGAGAAGGCTATGAGAAAAGACGCAGTCTTGAATGAGTATCTTAAAAAGGTTTTTGTGGTGTCACATGACCAAGTTGTGGTGAGTTGTTCGTGATATAACATGCTCTCTTTTTGTAAATGACAAGCTAATTCCACTATCTTTAGGATGATAGGTTTAAAAAACCTTCAGATAAAGCAAGGTTGCCTACTGAACGAACTACTCCAGTATCGCCAGAATTAGGATACATTGAACCAATCAATATTCCTAAAGGAAAAGTTACATTAAAACAGTTGATGGAGGTACTTACTCATCATCGTGAACATCCTGAAGTGTACACTGTAGAGAGGATATCTGATCAGTATAAAATATCAAATGAAAATGCTAGTATGTAAATTTTAATATAATGAGCTAAGGTAATTTAATTTATACTTTTTAAAATAACTTTTATATTTTCCAGAAAACATTCTTGAATATTTGAGCGTATTTAGTATTTATATGAAGGAGCAAACACCCACTCTTTCTGCTGGTCATAAAATATCTAAATTCTTTCAATCTCAGAAAAGTTCTCAAAAAGCTTTGGAAGATAAATAATGCCAAAAATGTAGTTTTAGTATTTTGTAGTTTGTAAATAAATAAATAGGTTATCAAATTTTAAGTGTTGTTTTATTTTAACTTTATGAATATAGATCTCTGTCTCAAAATTTGAATATGCACATTTTCATTGTTAATTGTATTTTTATAATGGGATGTCAGAAGGTAAGAAAAAAATGTTACAAAGTAAATTTACGTTTTCTTTCATCATATTATATTTTTTATATTAATATTTTAATCTTGAACTATATTGTTTCGGGTATTGACTAAATTCAACTTTTTCTCTGTATTTTAAAGCAATTACATGGTTACATTTTAAGCTAGCAAATAAAGAAGTTAGATTTGAAAAAGCTTAACCAATCTATGTGGGCTTTGTTTTCGACAGATTAAAAAATCAACTACCAAGTTTCAATTATTTACTCATTAAAATTGGCAATAAAAAACAACCATGGAGGTTGTTGTGTATAATACTATGTATCTATCAGCAAACATTTGTATTATTAGCTTCGAGGCACAGAATATACCAACGATCAGATATACCTTGCTATGCTAAGGTTGCCTTTACCATGAACTGGATTCCATGATGGCAAAATTCCTTGAGTGTCCATTCTTACTTGGTTCAGTTACTAATTATTGTCCATCCGTCCCAAGAAATGAATCTTGACACTCCCACTATGGTTAATAGGTGGCAACCTAGAGATATCTTATCAAACTAATTTCCTCCCTTTCCTAATTTTAATCTTGACTTTATAAAGGAAATAATAGGGTCCGATGTGGTAAATTTATTTAAATCCTTTTCTAACTTTTAAGCAATGCTGCTGTTTGTACTATTAAGATGTTATGCATGGCTGACATCTTAACATCTCACTCCTGAAAGAAGAATTTTTTTTTACAATAAGCTGTGTATAACACCGTATAAATAAAATATTCATTTTTCCCCCACCTCATATTGTTTGAGTCACATTCCAGGAGAGTTCCTATTCTTGTGAGGTTAAAGTGGAATGGGGGTTGCAATGTTCTGTATATACATAAGCTGTATAATTCATAAGTAGTATAGATTGTTCATAAGCTGTATAACAATCCATAAGTAGTATGGATTGTTTCCTTCTGTGTCTAGCTGAGGAAAATCGTTCTCTGCGAGATAAGAGGAGACTCCTTAGTAATTTGGCCTTTAGTGGTGGGGGTAGTTCATGACAATGTGCTCAGCGGTTGCAAGAATTTGCGAATTGCCATAATCCAGAACCTACTTGGGTCCAAACATGACTGGATCATGGGAAAATATTTTCTTGAGGTGGCCCCTTTCAGGCTTGTGGTCCGCTATCATACAGTGAGAGTTATGACCGATCTAGGTGAAGAAAAACCGAAAAAGGAAAAGAAAAGATCCCATAAGGTCTATCTATCTATATACTTTTTTGGCCTACCACATGGCTTTTTTCCAACTATTGTGACATTCATAATTATTATTATTTATAGTAATCGAGAGAAAGAGACTTCCTGGTGGATTGCTTTGAGATAGATGTCCTGCCCATCTTTACATCTCTTTCTTCTTCGAGTAATTCTTTAGTGGTCTTTCTTCTCCATCTGGTTATACTCTGATCCCAAATAGCTTTAGTTTACTCTTAAATCTTTCAATTGTTCTCTCTAGGGTGGTGATAAGAGTCCAATTCTCTGTTTATAAAGTAAATTATTATACAGGTACCATTAATGGGCTCAGATGAATAATAGAATGAAGTTATGACACAAATAAATAAAATAACTTTATTTAAAAAATTGAAAAAATGGTCAAATATAAGCATTATAAAATCAATAAAAGCAAATCAGCCTTTACAAAGGCATTTGCAATAGAAAATTTTAATTAACAGGAACACAAATGTGGTAGAAGACATAGAGCAATTAAATTAGAATCAATACATAAATTTGGAAAATTATGAGTCTAAATAACTGACTATTTTCTTCAATCAACAAAGATATATGAAATACTTTTAATGCATATATTTCCTGCAGATAATTAATTAAATCTATTATTTAACTAACAATTTCAATAAAAGTCATACAATATTTTTTAAAAATATTATACAGACAGATATACATACTTTAAACTAATAATTTATTAATCTAACTCCTTAAGGATGATAAGTGAACATGATTCCATGTATACAACACATTTAATAAATTAATTCGTAAGTTGAAAGTTCAATATTATAGTACAGCACTTTTATGATAAAAATATTTTTGTTAGCCTCTTATTTTTTAAAAATTATTAAAAAAGCATATGTACACGCAATGCTCGATGAAAGTCTGAAGTTTTTAAGGCAGTATATCCTGAGCTATGTTTCTTTTATAATCTTCTTTTCAACTTACAACCTATCTAGCTGGAATAATCGAATGTAACCATACATAGTTTTAACTTAATAGCTAAAGTATCTTATCCCATCTCCAAATTGTTCCATCATCACAAACGCAGAGAAGAACTGAACCATCTCGTGAAAGAGTTGTTTGGCGGATGGCAGTATTACACTTAGGATGAGAGAGGACAGTGCACTGTGAACGGGTAGGATCTTGAACATCTAAATCCCAGACAAAGGTTCTTCCAACTTGATTACCAAGTGCTAAAATCTGTAAAAATATATTTAAGAAATAATGGCATTGTATTAAACTATGCATTACAAATAACTAACTACGAGAGCATGAGTCCATGATATAAATATACTGCAATTGCAGTAATCCAAACAAATAATTACACGAGGGTATTAGGGAAAATTACCAACAATAAAAAATAAAACTCAATACACACATATGACTTCACTAATTGTACACATATATATGTGTATATTCACTTGATCAAAAAAAAAATATATTTCTTAAAGATTCAATTATTTTTTTAATTTCAGACTTACTTCCTAAATGACTTTCTTTGATATATAAGAGAGGGATTTATTAATTTGTTAGGAGGGGTTGCCTTTTGCCTATCAAATCTAGTAACTAAAATGAAACACTACATCTTCATGTATATGTTATTTTAAAGGTTATGAAATAAGTGAATTATCGGGTTTGAAGATATTAAACACAATCAAATGTGCAATTATATGGAAATCCGATCTCTAATTATAACCTTTAATCTTATGTTCTTGTAAAATTAATAAACAATTGCAATCTACCTGTTACCCGAGATTAAATATTACAAAAAAGTTTTTTAAAACCATTATTGACAAAATAAACATATAAAAATTTTGTATGCATACCTTTTGCCAGAAATCTAATGCAAACCGAACAAACCAGATCTCGCATTCCTTGAAATCAAACCTATGAATAATAGTGACATTAGTTTCGTTGTTTCTTAATTCTTTTTCTTCTAATCTTCCAGGTTTCCAACAGACTATACAGTTTTCACAAGACTGCAACAAATTATCATATATATAAAAATATAATTGAGATATAAAAACTTCAGTATTATAGCAGCAAATAGATAACCTTTGAAAGTAGGAAATCTCCAAGCCAATGAACACAGTCAACATAATTGCGATGGATATCCCTAGTTGAGAAGTCTGGAAAATGCTCTTTTAAAGAGTCAAAAGGCCTTTGAGAACGGGCAGTGCAAAACGAGTATGATGCCTTCATTGCTTCCTGAATATAATCTTTGTCAAGACGCCATAATTTCAACGAATGGTCCATTCCACATGACATTATTTTTTCACCACGCATATCAAAATCCTAAAAACGAGTAATATGATGATAGGTAAATTCTGACTATTAATTTAGCAGGATGAATTAAGTTATTGATTAATTATAGACATGATGGATTGATTGATTATTCTAGAGGTACAACCAAACTTGTTCTAACCAGAGTGGAATGGTTGAGATTTATTCCATGGATTTGCCACAAAGTAAATATCAACAAAAATTCGAATTGACCTTACTAGATTCGAGAATGTTAAAATGGGCAACACTTTAACATGATTGGCCATCATAACCTCAATATTAATACAGGTAGTCCATTGTTAACACAAAGTCAGTGGGAAACCCAATGCTATCGGACAAATCAGTTCATTTTATCTGAATAATTTGTTAACCAGGAAATTTCTTTAAAAAAAGAAAAGAAATGTATTGTTTTTGAAAGCACCAAGAAATTAACTGAGGTCATGAAAACTACTAAAAAAATATAATGTTCTACTCAATACTATTGTTATCAACTATAATCTATTTCTAGTAGATTTCAATATTAGCAAAAGGACAATACTTTCCGATGAAAAATATAGTATATGTAAAAAAACACAACACATAAACAACAAAGAAAAAGCAAATAAATTTAACAGTAAATATATTTACTGCACTAAGAACTTCATCACGATGTCCTTCAACACCTCCAAAAATGGCAATGCATACATCCGTTTTTATATTCCACAGCCTCAGGGTGTGGTCCTTTGAAACTGAAAGAAGTATGTTTGGATCCTGAGGGTGAAATTTCAACTCATTTATGGCATGTCCATGGCCTATAAAAGTAATGTTTAATAAATAATAATTTATTATTAAAATATAAAATAATAATTTATAGTTAACTAGAAATAAAATTAAGATTACCTATATAATGCTTTATCGATGACATCACGTATGGCGATAAAATTCTAATAATACCACGAGAGCCGGCAACAGCCAATAGAGGTCGCCCATTGTCATCATCGTAGGACCAGGCACAAGTATAAAAATTTTCTTCCGTCTTTTAAATTTTTGTATTAAGTAAAATAATCATAATAATATAAGTAAACAGAATAATGTATATGGTTAAGTTTATAATGGAACTAAGATTCTAAGGTGAATGGCCATCACCATTGTAACAGATTCCAAATGAACAGACTTCTTTCCAACTCTAACAGCATTTATACATTAAACAATTTATTAACTTTTCAATAATTATTATTTTTTCAACCATTTATACCTAATGTAACAAACCAGTTTAATTTACAGAGAAGCCTGGAAATATTGTTAGGAAAGAAAAACAGGACAACTATATTAAATATTCTTAAAACTCTAATTTAAAAAAAATAAAGTTCTAGTTTTTGTCTAAAAATTAGAAGTTAAAACTTAGTTTAAAATTATTACATCTTTAATTGTCACAGATTAAAGAAAAAATAACCTAAGTCTATACGTATTAAATAAAAATATTTAGAATCAATAAATTAGTATTAAAAAGTCATTCATTATCAAAAGCTGTTAAATGAAATTTTGTTCTAGTTATCTGTCTCAATAAGTCATTTGTTTAATATATTTTTTAACCAGATCTACAATCCTCAAAAGGGCAGTATGCCCTAATGTTAAGTTTTAAAAATAATAAAGAATAGAAGGCTAAAATTGTAACATATTCAAACATAATTATCATAAGAATTCATTTTCAAATTTTATGTATTGGTCCTTATGAGACAAACTGTTTAAATCAACATAAAAAAAAAAAAAAAGATTTCTGGAAATGATAAAGAAGTATATTAATAAAAGGATACATCAGGATCGGCATAGCATTGCAAGAGATTAATACCATCTCCTTCCGGGCACTCATAAATAGTTACCCTGTTGCTACCAACAGCGGCGAAGATGAGCGGCTGGCCTTCTTTAAGAAGGTGATTGATCTGAGCACCGAACAGTGGTTGTCCATGTTCCTCTTTTACGCTACACCTTTACACATAACAATCCATGTACATTAAACAAACTATTTGATGGTAAATAAACAAATGTTGGAGAATATAAAAATATGTAAAATGAATACTTTCTACAAAATGAGCTAAGAAAAGTATAAAAATAATTTTTTCTTTTTTAAAAGGCCATTTGAAATAAATGATATTTCGCTTATGAACATCTTATTTTATAATTTTTAATGCAAATTACAGAAAACTTTTTAATAGATATTAAAATGCCAAGCACCATAAAACTTGAAACTTACGTAAACTTATATTGCAGTTTAGGCTTCGTAGGTTTCTGTTTTCCACGCCTACCTCTTCTACTCACACGGTGCTGTGTAGGTGTTGCACTGCGGGATGAAGCGTTATCTGTGGTATTACTACCAACACTAGAAGTCTCATCCTTCAAATGAAATAACACAGGAAATTAATAACAATATACTATATGATTCTAAATTTATTGTTAAAAATTATAATATTTATGACAATTTTGAATTTAATCCTCATTAAATCAAATGAAAAACAATTCAATAGAACCAGAAGATGGTTTGGCAGTTATAGATAATAGAGTGAATTGTTCTAGGCCTTGTTTTAAATTTAGCAAAGCTAAATCCAATATTAGACCATTTGTTGTAACCTATTGGTCAGTTTGTTTCCTCTATTACATAAGACAACTTAAGAGTTTATTGGAATACCATTAGTCAGGTAAGAACCAAATTATATAAAATTATGAAATAATTGAAAGGTAATGCGAGCTAATTTACATGACTATCAATGATACAATTTTAATTATATACAGTTTTACTGATAAAAAATAATTTTTCTATTTATTTATAATTTAATGATTGAATAAAATAAGTAATATTTTTTAATGATCCTAAACATTCTTATTTTAAATAACAATTTTAAGAACAAAACTTTTTTTTTTTTTTTAGTAAAAAGAATTTCTTCTTTTCTTCTTTTTCAATACTCAAATCTATTAGAAAAACTTACATAGTAAAATTATTTATATTTATTTAAAATTTTAAAAGATAACAAACTAAATTAATAAGCCGTACATATTTAAAAAAAGTGTTAAAAGTAAAATAATTTTTTTATTTAAATTAATTAATATTAAAAAATAATCAAGAACTATCAATATTATTAATATGAATTTGCATAAGTATTTAATAAAATCAGAATAATGTAAATTTACTATCTGAATTGGCAGGTTGAACTTGGGTTCTTGGGTTCCCTACATTATCACTCATATAATTATATTAATTTATTTGTTTCAGTTTGAATTATTATCTTAGTTACTTGTTTCTCATTTATTTATTTTTATGTATTTCTTTTTTAGGAGTTAATCATTGACTTTATTAAACAAACTATTATTTCTTTTCATAAAAATACAAAAATTCATTATGTCAACTAAGTTTAACCAAGATAATAATGATTTTTTTTTTTTTTATTGTAACTGTAATAATTAATCAATAACTGAAACATAAACAATAAGTATAAAACATAAAACAACAAATATTTGTAAAACAAAAACACAAGTTATAGAAATTTTTCAATAGTATCCGATGACTTATAATTTTTTTTTTTAAATAAAAAATTATAATATAACAACATAATAACAGTAACTAATTAATTTAGAAAAGCAGAGAAGGAAAATGTATATCATTATTTCATGTTTCTCTTTCTTTTTTTTTAATAAGAGTATTTTAATGTAAAGTAAAGGTAAGGTTATATATATATAATATTTATAAGAATATAAAATATGATACAAGTATAAAATCAAATTATAATGTTGCTCAAAATAATTTATTAAGCTAGAATACACAAGTAGCATACTGGTAAAGGCAATCTAGGGGATTAATACAGGAACCATCTCCTCCTAGAACCAAGTGAATGTGGGAACAGAGATGCCCAGTAGGGAGTTTGATGGCACAATTTGTGCCATCAAAATTTTAGAAAAGTGTCATACTAAGGGACAAGGGAAAAACAAGGAACAACAAGCGTGATTGCATATGAGAAACAATTTTTTTAATTTTACCTTATTTGCTCTGTTTTTAAGAAAGGTGAGCAATAAAATATCATGAGAGTGGGGGTTAGTTCTTACACCATCGATATTGGGGGGGATGTGCACCCCTGTATGGGAATATTCCAGAAGAACATTTGATCTTATTCCAATACTTCTCATCAGGTTTAAAAGAAATAAGAAGCAAGTTTTTGGGATGGTTCGTGATGAAACCTGCTATTTGTCGCAGATGAATTTCGGAAGATATCCTGACCCCAATACCATACTGGGACTCAGAGCAGGATTTCAAAGAAAAGTCAAGACAATTGCCCACGCAAGGAATGCCATTGACTCAGATGCTTTAAACTTAGAAGAATAACAGGTCCATTTGCCAGACTCCTACTGCTGCTAGTATACATCAAATATTTTGATAAAAACTCTTTTGAATTCTCCCCATTGAGAATATTTATTTGTGACCTCGACCCCCACCAGTGGTTCATGTAGATGTTAACAGAAAATAGATTAATCAGTAAGGTTAATACCTCTTCAATGTTTAATGTCTAAAAGTCAATAAATTATCTTAGGAGTTGGTATAAAACAAATAATATGTCACATTAAAAGAATTTTTAAACAATGTGAACCACAACCATAATTCTGACGATGGGTCTTTGCAAAGGGGTTTAATTGACAGGAAATTTAGTATTTTACCAGTTTCGTTTTTCTATACATTCAATTACTTTATCATCAATGAAAAACTGAGGAAATTCTGTTAGCGTATTTTGCACCAATAATAGACACCCAGGTTTTTTATTTAGGTACTTGTTTAATAGCGGGTAGCGTCAAAACCTCCCTTGTTATCTAGTCTTATTTCACATAACCTCCCTTATCTCCTCTAACCTAAGTTATTCCCTTGCTTATTTTGTGTTCCTTGTGTAAGCTGTGAGTTAGTCTTATTTAATTATGGATGTTGTCACATTGTGGGAATTGCCGTCTTCAGAAGAAGAGGCTATCAAATATTTTCAAGATGCCATCAAATGAAGTTCAACGGGAAGATTAAATGGAGATACTTTTGTACCTGTAACAAAACCGTTTCTATAAGGAAAGGAACATGATTAGAAGGGTAGAGGATTTCTTTTTTAATAGCTTTAAAATTCATTGATGGGTGGTCCCATAATTTAACAACAATACAGTGGGAGAAAGAGCAGCTCAAACTATCCCAGACAACTATCGCAATTGTTCATATTTTGTTTATAGTGTTTCTTTTATATGTACATATGCTGTTTAAGTGGTTTTTTGTCTATTTTTATAATTTCATTTATATATATATATATATATATATATATATATATATATATATATGTTGTAATGTTTTCGTAATGTTTTTTAATTATATATGTATATCTTGTAAAATAAAAGTATTTTTTTATTATTACATTCACAATTTCAATATCAATACAATACAATAAATATTAATACAAAGATATAATAATATGAATATAATACAATAAATATGAATACGAAGAGCTTATCAGAGTTATCAGTGTTAAGGTTATAAACATTGGCAGATAGCAGTCGGACGCTACCCGCTATTAAACAAGTACCTTTATTTAATTAAAAAACTCAAAATAAATTCTCCAATTTTCAAAAATGAAATGAAAAACCACAGAAGAATAAATCAAAATTTGAAACCTATCTCTAAAAGAGGAGTGATAAGGAGACATCCCTGAAACAAAGATCCGGTCTTGCTCTATTAAAAAATTAACCAATCGGCCACTGTGGCACGATATCACTTTATATTCAGGCAGTAAGGGTGTATACAGCTTAGTACCTGTTAATGATTTGAAAAGTATCTCTTACTGGTACAGTATCTATTACTGGTACAGTTACAATACATTCCTGTATTTTGATTATTTTTTATTGATTATTGATAATCATAGATTTCTAATATTTTCTGGATAACACTCACTTTTTAAATGATATAATCCTATTGAATATTAACTTCTTATATCGTTAATGTGTTTAATTAAGGGGAATTAGGGTATGAAAATGTATGTAATTCTTATCAAAACTAAATAAAAAAAAAATAAATACAGAAAAAGTCACCATAACCCAGAAATGATCTTAAGCACATTACTAATGATTATGATTATGAAGCACAAATCCGATTCATGAGGTATGACAAGAGGTGATATGGTTACAATCAGATTAAAAACAACTTTAACCATCACAAAAAATTGTCATCTAATCCCTGTAAAGGACTATTTCACTGGTACTTCCCACTGCGCTGACTACTAGCAGTTAAGCATTGCTTTAGTAGAATAGAAAGGAGCCTATTTCTCTGCACGGTGAGTAATACCAGCAAAATAGTACGTAAAGTTGTTATCAGCCAATGGACATGAAAATGAAAATGGTTACTTACTTAAAAACAAAAAAATTATAAATGAAATTAACTCTAAAAAAAATTAGAGATAATGTGCTCAATCAAATCCTATTTTAAATGAAAACTTGCAACATACATAAAGTGATAGAAAACCTTTTGGGATCCAATGAGCTTCAATTGGTAAAATACAGGAAAAAACATAAGAGAAAAAGAGCAATGAATATTTCACAGCATTTTAACTGTAAGCAATCATCTATAACATAAATGTTTTGGTTGAAAATAAGAAGAATCCTTTAATTGTTTCTCTTGAAAACTGATAAATTTGTTAAAAATTTAGATTAAAGAGGAACTATATAACATTTAGTATTGCTCCCATTTTCTAAATCAACTGAATTCTAATGTCACTTCTGTAGGCTCATGCTTCAGCAGCACAATGTCGTCTGAATCATTGAAAATTATAGCACGTACTCCTAAAGAAGCAAACCACAAGGGAGATGTAGTAACCTTGTGGTATCAAGATCATAAACTCATCAGCGGTTCTAATGATGAAAATATTAAGGTAAGGTCTTATTTAAAGGTTACAAAATGAATTAACAAAGACCCTAATTAAATAACAAATGCAAAATATTTGGTTGACAGAAGCATGCTTATCTGTGCACAAAAGCTGATTACTTGATAATTTAAATACTGATTTTAGTTTAAAGTATTTAAATCACTAAATTATTAATTTTTATGTTTTTATGAATATTCAAATTTATTGCATTCATGATAACAATAAAGATAAAGATGCAGCATCAATAATAATAGTAACAGAAACTATAAATTAGAACTTGAGTCCCATAGACAAAATATCAATGATTCTCAACTATTGAGAAGTTAAAGACATGATTGTAACACATATATTTAAGAAATTGAAAACCAATTAAAGAAAAATTATTCTAAAAATTGCGCTTAACCACAGCTCATAATTTCCGTAAAAACAATAAATAATTGGCTCCATTCACTTACATTATCATCTCCTGAATCTTCAGTATTTGTAGATATTTCCGAACTAGCTAAGGAACCTTTCATTACTAAAAATCAAGTAAAACAACACCGAGTTAGAAATAACAACACACCATTTGAAGGCACAGTACAGCGCCTTTTTTGAAGCAGCTGACAGAATTCAAATTTTTCCAGCCAATGCCTTTCAAATAATTCAGTTTAAACGCTCACTATCGATAACAAGATTCAAATGAGCTACTTTAATTCAAAAACAGTTCTTGAAATGAAATGTATCATTAATGAAACCACATTTTATTATCACTTTAATAAACAATGCCGATGTTCAAGGTATACTAATTAACATGCAAAATAAATTACAGAACTAAATAGGAATAATAAAAAAATACATATTTGCTATACTGAAATATTTTGCCTTAAACCACATTAATATTAATGAAGTTATGGATTTAAACAGTCAGAAAATATCATTTGATGCTATTTTCCAAATCTAAAAATAGCCGAACCCTCTAAAAATATTATATAAGCTAAAATTGAATAAATCCGGTATTTTGTTTAAAAATAGCTTCCCTCGCCGCAGTATCAAACCGACTCCACAGATCAACGGTGTAGCCCGAGGAATAGGAATAAAACCCGCGAAATGGCTAAAAGATGGGTGGCCCCAGGTAAAAAAGTCCCCGCACCTCCTAACCCGCTAAAATTGATTGGCTCTGCTGCACCTGAAGATAAACACGAAAATGACGTGGTGACTTTATGCTACTACAACAAGCAACTTATTAGTGGTGCTGACGACGGTAAAATCAAGGCAAGTTTCAGCAACATTTTTACATGCCTCTCTTTAGTAAGCTAATTCTTATATTAAGTGAAGGGGACGAATTGGAGTATTCAAAAAGCAAGCTACCGTCTTACCTGCACTGTGTTCTTTACTAATAATTTAAAAAATGTTTTTGAAAACATAAAGATACTAAATCTTGGTTATCTTTATTTTTTCATTATATAAGCTTGATTTGGTTTTCATATTTTTCATTGTAAAGAGATTAATGATCCCATATCAATTTTCTTTTTCACCAAAATTTCGTTCATTCTAGAATGATAGCAAGTAAACCTCCAATTTAAACATTTTTCATTGGAAAACTCAATCAATACATTTTAATATTTTTCTATTTAAAAGACACAGCATTGTTTATAGAACAAAGTGAAGAGACTTGAATGACTAGGTTGTAGACTTTAACGTTTAAGATAAATATTCTCAACAATCTTTAAATGGTTGTTTAATTTCTTGATTTATTGGAAAATATGTTTTATCTAGCTAGGATCCATCAGCGTAATTTAAATACAACACTATGGAAAAAATTTCATCATTTTCATAATTTGGAAACTTATGGCAAATGCAAGGCGCGTTCACGATTTGTCACGGATCCCTGTTCTTAATTTTTTTCCCCTCTATACGCAATTTGAAATATATTTCCAGGATTAACTAATTCACACTTAATTTTGGCCAAAAAAAGTAAACAAATAATTAGTCAGTTAATTATATCCAAAAAACAAGAATCCAGTAGAATTTTTAATTATTTAGTGTGAAAGTAATAAAAATATATTAGTATGTATTTTTTGAAGTTGTAGTAGATTAAAATTTTAGTTTTTTGTTTTTAATTATTCCAAATATTTTTGATTATTTACTTTTCTCAGAACAACCAAATCAGAAAATTATTGAAATAATTTATTATATCTATTTTCAATGAAGTTTGATATCCTTGTAATTCTAAGTTCTAAAATTATATTTGAGCGGATCTTCCCGTTATTTTAAGTAAGCCAATCTTTACTGTAAATAAATAAATATATAACAAGTAAAAATTAATATTGTCATGTATAAATTAAATTATTTCTTCACAGTATAAGATATTGTCCGGATATTGCCATTTTGAAGTCCATGAAGCTAATCATTTCACTACGTTATTTAGAAAATTTTGATTATTACCAGCACCAAAAACGAAGAAAAATCCTTTTATTTTTAAAATTTTGGTAACTGGAACTTTTATTATTGGTAGTTTTTTAGTTCTTTTGGAACTAGAACTTTTTCCGTTATTTTAAAAAACTTTTATTTAAAAGTTCAGTCGATTTCACTAAAAAGTCGATCTAAAATATATGCTTCCTGCAGTCCCTGGTACCACGCCCAGATGAAGACCAACAAAGTGGGTCGAAACATCGGCGTAACTAATAAAATACTATTTTAATATATACTATTGACTTGACCGCACCCCCGACCAACTCCTCAAATATTTTTTTTTAGTTTTCTTCTATTACTCCTAATAAATTTAAACAAGCCTTTCTATGTTTATATAAATCTTCTCTAGCTAATATTGAAATTAACTACTGAAAAAAATTGATATATTATATTTTAATATTTCAAACACTATCTTTTACTATAAATAGTGTATACAGGTATGAATGCTTTTTTAATTTACTTATCTTGAAGTTATTATATTTTATTAATTGTATGTAATTTTTGATTATTATTTAGTTGTTTATTATATTTGCTTATGTTTATTTTGCATAAAATTTAAATGTGATCTTATCTCCCTATAACTATTGTCCAGGTGACAGGATGTTATATTATTAAATACAAAAAAAAAAAACTTTTACTATTAAAAAATAAGAGCTGCGTTATGGCTCTTAGAGCAATTTCGAAACTTCTGTATAGTATAATAATAATAATAATGATGATAAAGATTATCAATATTAAAACTTTTTTTTACATAAAATATATATACAACTACCTCTCACTTCAAAGATTTTATAATAAGTAAATAAATTAATTCGTTCTTAAATCTTATATTGTTGTGTAGTATCTCAAAACCTAAAAATGATTTAATTTGTTATATTTTTTATTCTGATGGTCTCAAGCTAATAATGACATTTTTCTATTTAAGATGACAACCAGTAAGCTTTAGAAATGATATAAATTTGAGTTCTTCACCAATAATTGACTAACTGACAGTATATACAAAAAAGTCTAAAATTCTAAATTTGCTGTTAAGTCCATTTTCAAAGATTCACTGTCACAACTAAAGTTGTGGTTCATATTAATCTTGACAATTTCTCTTTAAGTATCTATTACTTATTAGCTTAACCTAAAACCATATTTTTTATTTGTTACTGGGTTTCGAAAGATAGACTAAATAATTCTTCCAACCTCCTAATCTGCCCTATACGACTCTCAGATAATTAGTTTATGATTTTCTATAATATTGCTCACTGGGTCAAGCATAGTCTTCGATTTACGAACACTCAATTTATGCCAAAACAACTCTTCCTAAACTACAAAAATGTATTACAAGTTCTAGTTTAACCTCAAAGAAAAATAGTTTTCTGTTAGTTTTCTTAACGAGCTAATCCTAATGAGACCAGTTTATTTAGAGACTGAAGGAGAGGTTAGGGTAAACTTGGTCAAGATCTAACAGTAAGTTTTCTTCCATAATTAATTAATTGGTTCCAGTTAAGAAAAATTAAATATTATATTTATTAAAAAACAAAACAATCCAATTTATCTAACTTTATTCAGGCGAACTTGCACAAACTATACTCAGAGGTATCTTCTAACGTAATTCGACATTCCGTTATTTGTTGAGATAGCTTAGGAAATGAAGAATTATATTAAGCAAAATAAGTTTTCATAATAAATCAGTATCTGTCAAAGAACTGCTTCTTAAGAACCAATTTCAATAATTTAATAAAAACTACTCAGAAAACTTAATACAACTACCTTAAAGTGTATTATGATAGTGAAAGAAAAGCTTTTAATATTGATAAATTTTATTCAATCCCGAAGTGAATCAATCGTAATTAGTTTTAAGCTATAATTATATTTTATTTATGTTATAACAATCGTGACAAGATCATAATAATAAAACGATTACTTTAATCGTAATTTTAATAACTGACATGATCTTCCGTTTTTTCAATTACCATTTTTCATTTCTAACAGGGGCTGGAACATTTTTTAAAAAAGTTCTACTTTAACAGTTTCTGTGAAACTTTTTAGGAAAAAAGTTCTTATAAATAAATAATTAAAAACTCTAAAATAATAGCTCTAAGGAACTTCTTTGTAATTAAGTTTCAGGTTAATCGGAAAAGTTTAACTAGTATTTATTCAAGTTCTTAAAATAAGTGTTGTTGAATGAAAAATAATCAGTAAGTGAGCTTAGATTAGAGACATAATTTGTCTTAAATGAATTACACAAGATTCTATTGTGTCATTTTTTGGGTAGTTAAAAATATAAAAGTCATGTTTTAGATAGACTTTTTAGCGAAATCGACAGAACTTATAAATAAAAGTTTTTTAAAAATAAAAGTTCTGTAAATCCTTTACCTAAAGTGAAAAACTATCGACAGTAAAAGTTCCAGTAAAAATTAAAAAAAAAAATGTCCACTTCAAATCCTGATTTCTGGACGTTTCGAGGCTGTGTTCCAATTTTTAAGAAATTAAATTATTTAACAGTCCTTTTTACGTCTGATTATACTCAATTATATAACGATTGTGTATAAAATCATGAGTTAATTATATAAAAAAACACAAAAATATATTTTTTGGCTATTTGTACAACTTGTCCATCAAGAAGTTAAATAGCAGGATATTTGAAAAATGGGCGCGTACAACACCCAAAGGTCAACAAATGAAAAGATAATATATAAAATTAAAAAAAAAATAGTTTTGCATTTCACCCAACCTGAAGGGAGGGCAATTAATTTAAGTTTGAGAGAATTTTTCTTTATTTCTTAATTAGTTTCTTACGGTATACTTAAAGATTAACAACCAAGTTGTTGCTGTTTTATTATTTTTTTCAGAAATATACCAGGGAGAGGAGAGGGATTTTTGGGCTGAAACCATTTTTTTCATTTATGAGTGAACTAAACTATATATTTAAACAACCAAAATATATTTTCTATTTAAATTATATTCAACGTTTATATATTTAACTACTTATAATTACAAGTAGTTGCTAACTGTAATTATATTTATTGAATATTTAATAGTTGACCGTTGCATTATTAAGGAAGGAGATGATCCGGGGGGGGGGAGGGGGGCGGTCATCTGCAGTTTTAAATGAAACTCCTCGCTGGACACACCTCCCTGAAGAAGACCTTCAAAGTCGGGTCGAAACGTTGGCTTTTAATAAAATAGTTTTGCCACTATCCAGCCTATTT